ACAGGTTGGCTGACTTTCTTCTAGCCCATCGTACCACTCCGTGCACTGCCACGGGTAAGTGCCCGGCCGAACTCCGTTGGGGTCGTCGGCTCGTGACTAAATTGGACAGGCTGCATCCGGAGCGTGTAGCTTCACAGGTGTCTCAGCCACACCCACCACGGGTCCTGCATGAAGGTGATCCTGTCTGGGCCAGGAACTACGGGCCTGGACACCTCTGGGTCCCGGCTGTGGTCTGCAAGGTCTCGGGGCCTCTGTCCTACGAGGTGTCCCTGGAAGACGGCCGCGTTCTTCGCCGCCACATTGATCAACTACGTGTGAGGCGGGACTCGCCTAGGGTTCCTCCTCGGTCTCCTCTAGGGGGGGAGGAGGAATGGGAAATGCATTCTGGGAATCAGAATCAACAGCCAACGACGGTTGTGGGGGACAACACGGGTACTCAACATTCACGTTCCACAGGAGTTTCAAGTAGAAATTCATGGGGCAGGGGGCAAACAGACACCCCCACACACACTCCAGCCTGGGAGTCCCAACGGAGGTATACTAACTATCCACACCTCACAAACAATACTCCAGACACGGAGAATGACTGGGAGCATACTCACAACGCACAACATACAAGAGAGCAGGCAAAACAAAGGGGTAACCCGTCCTTTGCAGAAATGGCTCAAAGAAGGATGTCCCCACGCATTAGGGCTAACAGGGAGGTATCCCAGGACCCTATCACTACAGAAAGGAGCCAGGAAAACCACACTCCGTCTGGAAACATGGAGATGAGTTCAGAGGGGTTAGAAAACTCCATAGGTGGTAGGTCAACCAGGTATAGTGAGCGGCAGAGTCCTGACTTCTCGAGCTTAGGAGATGGGCAGGAAAGTCAAACAGAAGTCACGAGACAACCACAGGGTAATTCACCTAGTGTGGGAAGTAACTGGGAAAACACTACAAGCTCCCCAGGTCCGAGAAGGTCGCTAAGGGTCAAAGGCCCTCCAAAATACCTTGCAGATTACGTAAGGTGAGCATATATATATATTAATAACTGGAATTATAGATCCAGACTGGTTGACTCTGTGGAAACGGGGTTGGGGCACATTGGGTCCAGGTACGACGGAACAGCCCCACACCTTACACACATCTTGTGACATTCATATAATAGTTAGTACACAAAACCTTACTATGGTGGCGTCCATGTTGGGCGCAGTATTATTTTATCTAGGGGGGAGGGGTGTTGTGTCCTGAGCCTGCAAAAGCAGGCTCGGGACGTTGCAAGAGTCCCGGGCATTTGCAAAAGCTGCCCGGGACCAGACTGAGCGGCGCCGGCCTTGCGCACATGCGCAAGGCGGGAAAAGACCGCCTTGTGATTGGTTGGATTTGCCCGGGGATCAGAAGGTATAAATAGAGGCCTGCGTGCCTCTGCTCGGGTTGTTCGTAGATTGGAAGCAGAGAATAAAGACCTGTTAGAAATGCATCGTCTCAAGTGCCATTATTCTCCGGACTTAACACTAACAATGTTATTGGGATTTCTTGGATGCTTGGGCTCTCTCAAGGAAATCAAGTGTATGCTAGGACTTGTAAGTAGCTGGGTAGAAGCTGTGGGCCTCTATTCTGGTGCTGTCTAAGAAAGGGAAATAACATTTATTGGGTTCAGTCAGGTGGGAACATCATGTTGCTCCTGTATCCGAAACGATGCTCCTCTTAAATTTTTTTTTTAAAAAAAGCATTATAAATACTTCACCAAATGGAACAAGTTTTGAAAGATTTTGGTGATCTTTTCAGGAAGACAAAAACCTTCTGAAGTTTTGAGATGAAACATTTAAGTTCTAAGAAATTTGGTGGGCAATTGGAGAAGAATATTTTAACCATGTGATGCAGACTTGTGGGATAGAGTTTAGGGTGAGAAAAAGTTGCCAACTCCTGGATTAAAGCAACTTCTTCTTCTTCTTCTTGTGCCATATCCGTTATCGGACGTTGGTGATCATGTTGGCGATCCTGTTTTTATCAGCAGCCGCACGAAAAAGTGCTGCTGAGTTTTGCCCAAACCAGTCCCTTAGATTTTGAAGCCACGATGTTCTTCTTCTGCCTGGACCTCGTTTGCCTTAAAGCAACAAATTAAAGCAACAAATTCTGGAAACTAGGATTTCTCTGGAAACTGGATCTTCAGACAATGAGGTAACATGAAAGCGAAGAATTCCTGCAATTGAAAGATTGTGAATAATCTTTACTGTGGGGTCCTTGGTGCTCTCTGAGCATGGTTGTTTTCTTGCAAATGTTTCATTGCCAAACTAAGTAACTTCATCAATGACTAATACTGATGATGTTACCTAATTTGGTAATGAAACGTCTCCAAGGAAACTACCAAAGTCAGACAGTAACAAGGACCCCACGTTCAACGCCGAACTACAAAAATTCTATTCTGTTGGAATCATTACTCTATAAAACAACTGAAAAAGCTGATATACTTTATTTGGAGGGTAGGTGTAACTGTGCTGACACTTATATGGCATTCAATTACAAGAAAAATTTATGAATACTATATGTGGACATTTCATCTTTAATATAAGACTGATATATTGATAAAACGATGGCACAGCATTTAGTTAATTAGTGGCTCAGGTGATCCCTCTAGACACCGGTAGAAATCCGGTTGTGTACCTTTTAATAACACAACAGAATAAAGGAAGGAGAACCTGTATAGTGCATGAGGTGGTAATTTCCCAAGAGGCTTTTGTAGTGGGAAATGCAGAAAGGTAATTATGCTCTGTGGTATTTTCCCTTTGTAGTGATATATTTGGTACCTTGTGATTTAGCTGCAGATGAGGTTTCAATGTTTATAGCAGTGGTTCTCAGTTTTTAATGATGGCCGCTAGGTTTTTTTAATGGTGATTGCTTGGAGGTTGGGTATAGCATGTGGCTGTATTTTAATAATACTTATCAAATACTGTATAGGCAAAAATGCAGATTAAAAATAAATTTAGCATGCTTGTTTGTAAGAAACTTGAAGTAATGTTCATGTGAATGAATGAATGAATGAATGAATGAATAATAGATACCATGGTGATGTTGACTGATTTTGCTGGCCTTTTCTCTCTCCATCAATAGTACTTTGCCTTCCTATTGCTCCTGTTTGTTGGTCAAGTCACCATTGCAATCCTGATACAGACACATAGCAACACGGTAAGCAGTGTCATAAATCAGAAAATTTCTCATAAAATGGTCGCCATACACCTATTTCAATAATGCTTCATTCTACCAGAAGGGATTCCCCCCCCCTTCTCATTCCCTTCTTTTTTTATTTTACTCCTAGTCCTTGATCTGGTCTACATCCTGGATAACAGCCTTCCCCAAGATCATACCCCTTGATTGCTGAATGCTTCTTTGCATATACAACGGCCCACGTATGCAAGGGAATCTAATGTTCTCTAGATCAGGGGTCCCCAGCCCCTGGGCTGTGGCCTGTTCAAAACTGGGCCATGCAAGTGGTGGGCGAGCATGCAGAACCTTTCCCTCTCCCCCACCGCCACCACTGGTCCACAAACGCAGAATGGTTAAATCTAGATGTTAAATCCCACCAAAATAAATACAAGATTTGCTGGGCCAAAAGAGATTTGTAATAAAGCATCTGGAGAGAAAGGCATTTCTAAACTAGCTCACTACTTGCATATCCTTGTTTTCCATTTACAAGAATTCCTGGGGAGAAAACAATGTGATCCTGTAATGTGATCTGAAATATAATACTGTGTTCCACCATTTTGCAAGTTTACTAGCTAGACTAAATCCTTTCTCTTTTTTCCCCCCTTTCCCTTCTCTTTCCCTTTCTCTCTTTCTCTGCCCAGAACCAAAACAAAAATGGGTGGGGGAGGAATGACTAGGGCCTGTGAAAGAGAAGAATCAATTTAGACTCAATATTTCTGTGTCCTTCTCTTAGTGACTCACAGATGCGGGGTGGCATAAGAGAAGATGTGTGGCAGGGTATATAAAAGAGTGAGCGAAAAGATATATATATATTTTCTCCAGGAGTAAATGTGATGTTTGTAAATTATGATTTACAAATCATGTGATTTGTTAATCAGAAAAATGTCTGCTTTTTGCCACTCTTTTTCATCTGGCTTACACTACAGCCAAAGTTAGCGGTATCCCTCTCCCATTCTTTGTGCAGTCCTTGGGTTCTTTAAAATCCTTTCACAACAAGCATGCATACTGTATGGTGATGCCTTTAATAATTGGTTTGGTGCCGTAGCAAAAGTAATTAAGGCTTGGGGTTAAAGTATTGCATGATACAATGAGTAAGAGAACTAGCTTCCTTTCTGGAAGGGCCGGGTGATCAGCAACTGTGTATGGCGTGTTGAGAGGATGGAAAAGATTTGGTGTTGCAGTTGCTGTCATCGCTGTTCCCCACTGCTGGATTATCTGGGAAAAGAAAATAAACCTTGCATCCTGTTTGGTTTGAACTTTTGTCCACTGAGAGTAGAGTTTGGGCAGAACCTCCCATTCTACTCCGAATAAAGGTAGTCCTTGATGTTGTGTCCTGAGCCTGCAAGAGGCAGGCTCAGGACGTAGCAAGAGTCCCGGGCATTTGCAGAAGCTGCCCGGGACAAGACTGAGCGGCGCCGGCCTTGTGCGCATGCACAAGGCGGGAAAAGCCCGCCTCATGATTGGTTGAACTTGCCCGGGGATCCGAGGGTATAAATAGAGGCCTGCGTGCCTCTGCTCTGGTTGTTCGTAGAGTGGAGCAAACAATAAAGACTTGTTGGAGATGATTCGTCTCAAGCGCCATTATTCCCAGGACTTAACACTGGCGACGAAGGTGGGATACAGTCTCTACAGCTAAGAAAAGCTAGAAGACTCACCCAAAGAAGTCCGGGAAAGAAACGGCGT